AGGTTAGGTTACATCAAATTTTGATCATTTGGCTATTTGATAATTGGACCATTTGACCATTTGTCCATTTAATCATTTGACCGTCTGAGTATTTGATCATTTGAAAGTTGAGGGTTGACAACTGGATTTGAACCGAATTATCAGGCTCAGTTAGGTTAGGTTACATCAAATTTTGATCATTTGACTATTTGATAATTTGACCATTTGACAATTTGTCCATTTAACCATTTGACCATTTGACTATTTGATCATTTGAAAGTTGAGGGTCGACAACTAGATTTGAACTGAATTATCAGGCACAGTTAGGTTAGGTTACATCAAATTTTGATCATTTGACTATTTGATAATTTGACCATTTGACAATTTGTCCATTTAACCATTTGACCATTTGACTATTTGATCATTTGAAAGTTGAGGGTCGACAACTAGATTTGAACGGAATTATCAGGCTCAGTTAGGTTACGTTACATCAAATTTTGATCATTTGGCTGTTTGATAATTGGACCATTTGACCATTTGTCCATTTAATCATTTGACCATCTGATTATATGATCATATGACCATTTGAAATTTGAGGGTTGACAACTGGATTTGTACTGAATTATCAGCTTCAGTTAGATTAGGTTACATCAAATTTTGATCAATTGACTGTTTGACAATTTCACTATTTGATACTTTGACCATTTGACCATTTGCCTATTTGATAAGTTGAAGATTCTGTTATTTTTTACTGTGGTAAGTTGAAAAATTTAATGATTTGTCCATTTGTCCATTTGTTCATTTAACCATCTGACCATATAATCATTTGAAGTTTGAGCATGAACAACTGAATTTGCACTGAATTATCAATTTCAGTTAGGTTAGGTTAAATCAGATTTAAAATTCAAGCAAAGGCGAATAGATTTGTGTGACCAAATGGTGTTAAATCAGGTTAATTCGATATTTGAACAAAAATAAATAAACTCGACCATTATATGTCATCTTAAAATTAAATGTTTCAATTATATAAAAGCTATAAACTTTCCAAAAAATTTCAAACTGCCAACAATCTAAAATTGTCAACAAACTAAATTCAAAACGTTTCTGACCACTTCAAAATTTTGTAATTATCCTCAATAACGGTAAAAGTAATTACAAAAAATTGTATACGTGTTCATTTAAAGTTGATAATGATTATTGAATAATGAGATAGTGAAATTATCTGTGTTCAACAATTTCATTGATATAAAGCTTAGAGAAAAATTGCAAGCGGAAGTGCTTGTTGAAGAGTCTCTGACAGTCGATAAACAATTATTGATTGCCTTTCAATTGGTTATCCATCGAGACTCGTGTAATTAGGAGCAATAATTAATTAGGTTGACATTTTCTGGTCGTCGATGGACGAGTTACCTGCACGCCCATTTTCTTTCGATCAAAGGCGAGTATAATTATAAGCTTCTTAATTAGACCCGTCGTTGATCAGTGAGCAATTTCACGAGAACGCAATCTTTGTCGACGAATACCATCGTTTTTTATCTAATTATTGTTTACATTTGTTCTCTTTTCATGGTTACTTGATAACACAATTCTTGAATGATTTAAAGCGTTCCTTTTAATACTTTTTGTACGGATCGTCAATGATACGGTAAATTACGTTTATTTATTTATGATTGATTTATAATCGACATTGATTATGGTTATTTCTTAGTTTCATTCCACTATAATTTATACTGTTTTATACTAACATGTTTATACAGCAAAACGGACACGTCAGACAAATTGATGAAAAATTAATTTTTAAATTTTAGATTTGTTTTACTGTAATTTTTATTTTGTTCATTATTTAATTTTTAATTTAGTTGTATTGTTTAATTACATTTTTTATTTATTTTCTTCATATTTAATTTGTAATTACATATAGATAATACTTGTGTAACATTAATTATATGTATTATTATTTATTGTATAATGCATATAATTATTTTATTGCATTTTTTATTAAATATTAACATTTGTAAAATATAACATATAGCATAAATAACATATGACATTATTTGACTTATAACCGACATTGTATATTTTAATTTATGAAGGCAATAAAGTGTAACACAAAAATAATTTGTAAAATTACATAGCATACATAAATAAAGAATTTTTAAGAATTAAATAAAAAATTTTAAAGGACTATAATCATGATAAGGCGAATTATAAAGAATATGAAAGGAGAAAGCACCTGATCGTCAAAAACATGGAAAACCGTGACGAATTATCAATTCCTGGGCATTGACTTCATTTTTTTATTATCTGCCTGATTCACGAGATTGTAATCTCCGAACGTTTCTCAAAAATAGCGTTTCGGCAGACTTAAAATCCTGACAGCAAGATTCGGGAGATATAAAGAGTGATTCATCAAACACGATGATTTTGCAGGGGTCATTCCACTTTGACACAACAAAAAAAGGAGAAATGGATTCTCCTCTTTTTATCTGCCTCATTGTGAAGTTTATTGGCAGTATAAATTTAATATGCGACGTTAACGGTTTACGCGTGAACTAATAAAAATGGCCGACGTGTACTTCCTTTCGAAGCTACTATGATCGCACTTATTTAAATTAATAAATGAAGTATGAATGTCTTCAGTAACATTATTTTACAATTTAATTGTTTACAAGTTTACTAAAAAGTTTTCGATATCAATTTAATATCGAATATCAACGAAACTTAGTTTCTTTTTATCGAAATTGAAGTAAGCATTTTTAATAAAATTAATGTAAAAGCGAATTTTAGAAAAATTGCAGATTAGTCAAATAATAATGTTACAAAGCTATTTTCCTTGAAAACCTAGACGTCTACAGTATGATTCATCTTGATGTTTTAAAAAATCAACAGACAGAAATTCTACGTACTATTTTTAGTAATACAGCTAGAAAATTTTGCACAGATCTCTCGCTATTATTCTGTAACTAGAATAGCTCTCCATTATCAAACTCAATTTGTATTAATCCGAAATATTTTTCGTTATCAAAATTTTAGGTTATTTTACAATCTTCAAATTCACATAAAATTTTAAATACAATTATTAAAACATTTTATAGAAAGGAAAATCATGAATGGTAGAATTTAACTTTTACATAAATTTAACTGTACAAGTTAAAATACTCTAAATTGCATTTTATACAAATTTAAACGTTAAATTTGTTTAAGTTTATTTTTTTATAAAGTTCCAAATATTCTAATAGTATGCTTTTCTACAAAAATTCAAATGTTTAATCTTGCTTTCTACAAAAATCCAAATATTCCAATTTAGGTTCCACAAAAATGCAAATATTCAAGTTCACCTTCAACAAAAATGCAAATATTCAATTTTATCTTTAATAAAAATGCAAATATTCAATTTTACTTTGCACAAAAATGCAAACATTCAAATTCGCCTTTAACAAAAATACAAATATTAAAAATTACCTTCAACAAAAATGCAAATAATTCATCTTTCACAAAAAAGCAACTATTCAAATTTCTCCCAAAAATGCAAATCCTCAAAATGATGAACAAAAACACAATTACCCCAACAGCCCACAATTTTACACCCCCTATTTCTCCCTAACTGCCCAAAGTTCAAAATTAATACACAATCTGCCCATACCACACAAGGAATTTCATTTCGCAATTACATAACATCTCATAATGAAAAAATATCGTTCGAAATTTATTCTCTCGATTTTTTTGCTCGTTCAAACAGTGGAAACACGATCGAAAAGATAGCGAAAAGGTTCTGCGGATTAGCTAGCCGCATTCGTTACGATTTATTTATACATGCAGCACTGCTCTGACATAACTTCCTCCATTTGAATGTGAAACACACCGGCTACATGGGACGCCCCCGCTAAATATATACCACCCACGTAAATTCCGTGTGAGGGCAAAGCCGTGTGTGGACGAACTCGAGCGAATCAGGTGAGAATAATCGATTAAAATGCCGCATACTTCTTTCGGACAACTTGTCTGACTCGTTATTATCATTTCAACGATTGTTAACCCTTTACTCTCTCTACGGTTGTGTTCACATCCTGAAAATATGCGGATGTATGGACATCATAAATTAACATTTTACAACCCTCATTTTCATTGTCAATAAAGTTGAAACATCACTGATGAATAATTACTGAAATTTTACAAGTTTTTCAAAAAATAGATTCATTTTTTTTATAATATAAATTTGAAGGAATTCTAGTTCCTTGCAAATAAAATTATTTTAACTAATATTTTACTACCCTCAGTTTAATTGTCCATGAAACTTAAACATAACTACATTCAAAAATTAGAATAATATTATTTATAATACAAATTCGAATTAATTCTTAGTACAAAACTTTTGTAGCAAAAATAAGGGTAAAATTTTTTACCATTTTTCGTCCTTGAAATTTATTTTTTAAAATTATTAAGATTAACAGCAAATATTGTTGAACATTAATTATTAAATTCAAGTTGAAGTTTGTTTTGATTTCTACATATAATAATTATGTTTAAACAAATTAGAATTTTTTAATACATTTACTATTATTATCTAAATCAATCAAATATATTAATTATTAAATAAATACACCTCGAAAAATAAAAATTGATTTAACACACGAAAGTTCCTTAAAAATGTTTCAAAAATTAAAAATCGTTCACAGATATCGAACACGTGCCTCAAAATAACAAACCAACATATATACTGTTAATTAACAAACGATTAATAATAATGAGCGAATTTCTTTAATGAGTGATATTTTAAAAAATATCGTCGTTTTAAATAATTATTAAAAATGAAGTAACCTTAAAAATTGCAAGAGGTTAAAAAAAGCAATCAATAATTAACGCGATAAATTGCGTGAACAATTGGAGAAAATTTGAAGATTCATTGGTGGCAAGACAAAAAAAAACAGCAACGGCAGTTAGGTAGCCGGTTTCATTGAGGAAATAAAGGCCAATCGTGAGCGGATGACTCACCAAATTTTTGGCATACTTTTTTGTTGCAGACGGGCCACGTGAGAACGTCGACGGGAAGCTACATGATTAAGCCGGTCGAGCAGTGGCAAGAGAGTGACAAGGACCCTCTCGAATTTTCGCTGCAACACGCCATCGAAAGGATACGATCGTCGTCCAACACAGACGTTAATCACACGAACGATATTAACCAGCCTAGAACACACAGTTGCGCGGTGATTGGTGAGTTAACAGTTTTTTAGTTAGTAATTTTCGGGTGATTATTGTGTCTGGGCTTTTGTGATTGCTGGGTGATTGAAATTTGGGATTCCGGGTTTGGCTGTCGAATTGGGGAGTTATTGAATTAGGGAATTATTATGTTGTTATGTTGTCAAGTTGTCATATTAGGATAAAATCAAGTTGACGAATTACTGAATTGATGAATTTCTGAATTAGTAAATTTATGAATTATTAAAGTGACATAATTTATGTCTGAATTGGCAAATTGTATCTATGAATGTACTTAAATATCAAATAGACAAATCACCAAATTGACAAACTGGTAAATTTCTGTATTGTTAAATTGCACTTATGAAAGTACCAAATTATCAAATCACCATATTACTAAATAGACAATTCACCAAACTGACAAACTGGTAAATTTCTAAATTGTTATGGTGTACTTATGAAAGTACCAAATTATCAAATCACCAAATTACCAAATAGACAAATCACCAAATTGCCAAACTGGTAAATTTCTAAATTGTTATGGTGTACTTGTGAAAGTACCAAATTATCAAATCACCAAATAAACAAATTACCAAATTCACAAACGGGTAAATTTTTAAAATGATAAATTGTACTTGTGAAAGTACCAAATTATCAAGTCATCACATTACCAAATAGACAAATCACCAAATTAACAAACTGGTAAATTTCTAAATTCCTAAATTCTACTTATGGAAGTACCAAATTCTCAAATTCTCAAATTACCAAATTCCCAAATTACCAAATTCTCAAATTACCAAATTCCTAAATTACCAAATTCCCAAATTACCAAATTACCAAATTACCAAATTACCAAATTACCAAATTACCAAATTACCGAATTCCCAAATTACCAAATTTCCAAATTTCCAAATTACCAAATTACCAAATTACCAAATTACCAAATTTCCAAATTACTCAATTATCACCATATTACTAAATAGACAATTCACCAAACTGACAAACTGGTAAATTTCTAAATTGTTATGGTGTACTTATGAAAGTACCAAATTATCAAATCACCAAATTACCAAATAGACAAATCACCAAATTGACAAACGTGCAAATTTCTAAATTGCTAAATTCTACTTATGGAAGTACCAAATTCCCAAATTTCCAAATTCCCAAATTCCCAAATTCCCAAATTC